ATCGATTCCCCACCATTCTGCATCAAAATCCTGAGACAAAATATTTTTTAGATTTTTTGTCCATTTTTCGTGATGGGATCCCTTGAAAATGGGATTTTCCCCTATAGGGTCCACAGTGATGGCTATATCTTCCCCAATTCTCATCCGATTCTCAAGAGGATTACCTTAAACGATTTCTAGATCGATTCCCCACCATTCTGCATCAAAATCCTGAGACTAAATATTTTTTAGACTTTTTGTCCATTTTTCGTGATGGGATCCCTTGAAAATGGGATTTTCCCCTATAGGGTCCACAGTGATGGCTATATCTTCCCCAATTCTCATCCGATTCTCAAGAGGATTACCTCAAACGATTTCTTGATCGATTCCCCACCATTCTGCATCAAAATCCTGAGACTAAATATTTTTAAGATTTTTTGTCCATTTTTTGTGATGGGATCCCTTGAAAATGGGATTTTCCCCTATAGGGTCCACAGTGATGGCTATATCTTCCCCAATTCTCATCCGATTCTCAAGAAGATTACCTTAAACGATTTCTAGATCGATTCCCCACCATTCTGCATCAAAATCCTGAGACAAAATATTTTTTAGATTTTTTGTCCATTTTTCGTGATGGGATCCCTTGAAAATGGGATTTTCCCCTATAGGGTCCACAGTGATGGCTATATCTTCCCCAATTCTCATCCGATTCTCAAGAGGATTACCTTAAACGATTTCTAGATCGATTCTCCACCATTCTGCATCAAAATCCTGAGACTAAATATTTTTTAGACTTTTTGTCCATTTTTCGTGATGGGATCCCTTGAAAATGGGATTTTCCTCTATAAAGTCCACAGTGATGGCTATATCTTCCCTAATTCTCATCTAATTCTCAAGAGGATTACCTCAAACGATTTTTTGATCGATCCCCCACCATTCTGCATCAAAATCCTGAGACTAAATATTTTTAAGATTTTTTGTCCATTTTTTGTGATGGGATCCCTTGAAAATGGGATTTTCCCCTATAGGGTCCACAGTGATGGCTATATCTTCCCCAATTCTCATCCGATTCTTAAGAGGATTACCTTAAACGATTTCTAGATCGATTCCCCACCATTCTGCATCAAAATCCTGAGACTAAATATTTTTAGATTTTTTGTCCATTTTTCGTGATGGGATCCCTTGAAAATGGGATTTTCCCCTATAGGGTCCACAGTGATGGCTATATCTTCCCCAATTCTCATCCGATTCTTAAGAGGATTACCTTAAACGATTTCTAGATCGATTCCCCACCATTCTGCATCAAAATCCTGAGACTAAATATTTTTTAGATTTTTTGTCCATTTTTTGTGATGGGATCCCTTGAAAATGGGATTTTCCCCTATAGGGTCCACAGTGATGGCTATATCTTCCCCAATTCTCATCCGATTCTCAAGAGGATTACCTTAAACGATTTCTAGATCGATTCCCCACCATTCTGCATCAAAATCCTGAGACTAAATATTTTTTAGACTTTTTGTCCATTTTTCGTGATGGGATCCCTTGAAAATGGGATTTTCCCCTATAGGGTCCACAGTGATGGCTATATCTTCCCCAATTCTCATCCGATTCTCAAGAGGATTACCTCAAACGATTTCTAGATCGATTCCCAACCATTCTGCATCAAAATCCTGAGACTAAATATTTTTTTAGATTTTTTGTCCATTTTTTGTGATGGGATCCCTTGAAAATGGGATTTTCCCCTAAAGGGTCCACAGTGATGGCTTTATCTTCCCCAATTTTCATCCGATTCTCAAGAGGATTACTTTAAACGATTTCTAGATCGATTCCCCACTATTCTGCATCAAAATCCTGAGACTAAATATTTATTAGATTTTTTGTCCATTTTTCGTGATGGGATCCCTTGAAAATGGGATTTTCCCCTATAGGGTCCACAGTGATGGCTATATCTTCCCCAATTCTCATCCGATTCTCGAGAGGATTACCTTAATCGATTTCTAGATCGATTCCCCACCATTCTGCATCAAAATCCTGAGACTAAATTTTTTTTAGATTTTTTGTCCATTTTTCGTGATGGGATCCCTTGAAAATGGGATTTTCCCCTATAGGGTCCACAGTGATGGCTATATCTTGCCCAATTCTCACTCGATTCTCAAGAGGATTACCTTAAACGATTTCTAGATCGATCCCCCACCATTCTGCATCAAAATCCTGAGACTAAATATTTTTTAGATTTTTTGTCCATTTTTCGTGAAGGGATCCCTTGAAAATGGGATTTTCCTCTATAGGGTCCACAGTGATGGCTATATCTTCCCTAATTCTCATCCGATTCTCAAGAGGATTACCTCAAACGATTTCTAGATCGATTCCCAACCATTCTGCATCAAAATCCTGAGACTAAATATTTTTTAGACTTTTTGTCCATTTTTCGTGATGGGATCCCTTGAAAATGGGATTTTCCCCTATAGGGTCCACAGTGATGGCTATATCTTGCCCAATTCTCACTCGATTCTCAAGAGGATTACCTTAAACGATTTCTAGATCGATCCCCCACCATTCTGCATCAAAATCCTGAGACTAAATATTTTTTAGATTTTTTGTCCATTTTTCGTGAAGGGATCCCTTGAAAATGGGATTTTCCTCTATAGGGTCCACAGTGATGGCTATATCTTCCCTAATTCTCATCCGATTCTCAAGAGGATTACCTCAAACGATTTCTAGTTCGATTCCCAACCATTCTGCATCAAAATCCTGATACTAAATATTTTTTAGACTTTTTGTCCATTTTTCGTGATGGGATCCCTTGAAAATGGGATTTTCCCCTATAGGGTCCACAGTGATGGCTATATCTTCCCCAATTCTCATCCGATTCTCAAGAGGATTACCTTAAACGATTTCTAGATCGATTTTCCACCATTCTGCATCAAAATCCTGAGACTAAATATTTTTTAGATTTTTTGTCCATTTTTCGTGGGATCCGTTGAAAATGGTATTTTTCCCATAGGGTCCAGAGTGATGGCTATATCTTCCCCAATTCTCATCCGATTCTCAAGAGGATTGCCTTTAGCGATTTCTAGATCGATTCCCCACCATTCTGCATCAAAATCCTGAGACTAAATATTTTTTAGATTTTTTGTCCATTTTTCGTGATTTCGTGGGATCCCTTGAAAATGCGATTTTCCCCTATAGGGTCCACGCTGATAGCTATATCTTCTCCAATTCTGATCTGATTCTTGAGCGGAGTACCTTAAGCGATTTCTAGATCGATTCCACACAATTCTGCATCAAAATCCTGAGACTAAATAATTTTTAGATTTTTTGTCCATTTTTTGTGATCCTGGGGGCGTTTCATAACAATACAATTGTCATTCTTATATTCATACAATTTTTATAAAAACTTATATAATTGTTACAATTACATTTAAATAATTATTTAGGTACAAAATATGTATGTTTGTGTTTTCTTATAATTCGTTTTGTTCCAAATTCCTCGTAGAATCGCCGTTTTCTTCTTTAATCCTTTCATCGGATCATCAATAAAAACGCATGTAAGGGTTCATTGTTTCTATCAAATAAAAATATAAATTAAAAAAAATTTTTATTTAAAATATAAATTAAAAAAAAATTTTTATTTGATATGTTTTTTTTTTAAATGTGCTGTTGGAGATAAAACAGAAGCTTAAACAAAAATAGAACAAGTACTCAGAATTGAACCACCAGCCATAGCCGATATCCTTTGCCCAATTACGATCGTGATTTCCGTCCTCGTCTTGATCCCAGGTGGAAAAATTGGCTACCCCAAGGCTTAACCTATAGTAACCGTACACTCGCCAGTACTCTTCAGCATGTATCCTTCGCTTCGATTGCCAACAACAAAATGGTCACATTTTTGAAAGCTTAAGTCTAACTCATAAGTGTTTTGACTTGTCAGAAGGTGCCATCTTTCGAGTCCGATAAAGAAATTACTGAGCGCGTTCATTTTGACTTGTCCGAATCCATTGGCATATTCCTCATACGTGCGATTAAAATATGTTGAATTATTAACTTTCCGATAAACAACCATCCAGCCAGGTCCTATCTTCTCGTTTGAATAACAGGCCACAATGATCGGATCTGTTCCAGGGATTTGGAATTCGTGGACGGTATAGAATACGCTTTGGTTTTGTGGACAACGATCTGGTAGAACTAAGGCATTCGATGTTTTATTTTGAAAAGGATTCGGTTCTGCCAACTCCCCTCTTTGATTATTATTATTAGTCAGTTGATTTGCTAAGCTGTCTCCAATTGTTTCCGTTCTCGGCATCTTGTCAATTTCTTCCCGAAGCTGATTTTCTTTTCGTAGGGCAGTATTTTGTTCTTTTAATAGATCGATTTCTGCATTTTTTTTATTTATCAGAGCTTCAAGATACTCAACTTCCAGATGCCTTGATTGCAACTTTTCATTTTCAGCACTAACTTTATAAAGTTGATGGACCACTTCCGAATGTGTCCTCAGCAAGCCCAAGTAATGCTTCTGGCACTGTGATGCTGCTTCTTCCGATCCCAGAGAGGCGGAACTAAACGCCGAACGAAGGACCACCCAAAGGATCATTTTTTTTATTTGTTTTTTAAGTTTGAATGGAGACTTATTCTTGAGAAGTAACTGGAAAAATTTCAACTGATGCTTAAAGCTCATGGCTCCGGCATTTTATGCGGAATTGGGACTATGAGAGAACAAATATAAGTATGTATGTACAAATGTTGAAATATGCCACAGTCGAATGTGATATCCAAGGCCAAAAAAAAATATTTGACAAGCAAATTTCTTATCAAGAATCCCATAGGAATCGGTAGCGAAATAGCTCAAAAATTTCAATGGATTTGGAAAGTTTACATCATTTTAGCCATTTTCGAACCAGCTCAGCCTGACAATTAGATTTTCTATATACTTTGATCACTTGAAATCTCTTTTTCCAATCAACTCTATTTAACTCCAATCAACTCAATCGAAACCGATTTTAAAAATTTTTATGGTAGCCCCACTACTCCAACGGAATGATAAATGAATCGCAGTGGAATCCCAGCGGAATCATGAAGCTGAAAGGTTGTACATTGGCTGTATAAAATTGGGAATATTAGAGCATTTTGAATCATATTATTTCGTATTTAACGATAATGATACTGTAATTAGAAATACACTGCTCTAATAAGTTTTAACCTGGAATTTAAGCGGAGAGTCTCAAAATACTGGATAAAAATTAATTAATTGTTTAAACTGATGATATCTCTATAATGTATGATTTTTAAATTTTTGTTAAGCCGATTTATATTATTAATTATAATTAACTTGTAGGCCCTTAACTTTTTAGTCTTGAATCGTATCTCAGAATCTTCAAATTGGCCTTATTTGTGTGTGGGATGGGTGATACTTTATTTTATTTATTTTTATTCTATATTCTTTTTTATTTAATGGGTTAAATAACCTTTTTGTTGGAAATTTCAAAGCGATGCCGGGTCGTTGGCTGGCTGACAAAAGAGCCGACGGAGTGTGAGTGGGTGGGGGTGGGGGTGTGGGAGTGGGAGGGAGACAGCCACTTGCACGCGTGTCAGCGTCAGTTACAAGACATACCTCCCCCACCACCCACCAACACACTCCCCTTGTCCGCCCGGCACACACACCACCCACGTCCTTGTGCCATCCTTTAGTTGTGTCTGCGCTTCCGCCATTGTCGCGCTTATCAACAGGATAATTTGTCTTGGCGTGCGACGCAGTCACTCTGGGCTACACTGGGAGAAATGTAATCCCAAGAAGTAAGGTTATTTTTTAATTATTTATGACTTTAAAATAAAAAAAATATTCATATATTCTTAAAACTCTTATATTTGTTTATATCTAAGATAATTCGAAAAGAAATTATGAAATAAAAGTTTAATTTAGTTTAATATAATTTTTAATAATTAAATATACTCCAAAATATTTAATTGTAAATTTGAAAAAAAACATTTCCAGTGTAACCGCCAAATATCTCACTTTCCATAGCCCTCTCTCTGTCGCTCTTTGTAGGACCATCTCAGTCGGTCTCGTTTTACACCAAAATTGTTGTTGTTTTTCTCACGCCTCCCCCCTTTTCCCTTGTCCCTGCCTTCTAGCTTCTAGCTTCTGGTTTTGGCCATGAATTTGAGCCCTTGGTCCTCCGTATCCGCAGCATGGAAGCCACATCCTCGAAATCCTTTTCCCAGGCCAATGTGTCTCCACATTACATACGCAAATTGGCAGCTTGCTGGTTTTTGTCAGTCTCTCTCTCTCTCTCTGTAGTTTTGGTGACTGTGTGTCCTGGCATATATCCTGACAGAGTTGGGGCCGCCTCGGCCCATCCCACTTATAAGCATAATCTAAACAAATTGATCGAGTTGTCGCGCGAAAAACTTGTTAGCCAAGTGGAGTGTCTTTTCCTTAAGTTTTTGGGGTTTAAGTTTGATTTGGAGTTTGTCCTGTTGGGTTTCTGGGTGTGGGGTTTTTGGGTATCTAGTTAATAAATGGGTTTTACTCAAGATTATATTTGGTTTGGATCTTTAACTCCTTCTAGCATTCAAATAATGAAAGAAATAGCGTTGAATGCCTGAATTTTTAGTCTTATAATGGGAAGGCACAATGGAGATGGTTGTAGGATAGGGAGATATTCATTGTAAAACTTGTAATTGTCAGGAACTATAATCATTTTTTAGGTTTGTAGACTTTGTGGAGGTTATGGGCTGGGCGTTATGGATTTCCTACCCAATAAATTGGTTTTACTTTGACCATATTTTTCTTGAAGATCTTCAAATTATTATATCAGATTTATATTTATAGATAAGAACGATTAATACATAAATTTTATCCGGCATTATATTCTTAGTTTGTTTTTTTTTGGTGAAGGTTTCTGGATGGGAGTTACGGATTATTTGGCTAATTAATGGGTTTTATTTATAATAATATTTGTTTTTTAAAACTCCTCTATAAGTCTTTGCATTATTACAATATTGCAATGAAGGATATCTTATAAAATGGGTTCCATTCCGGTCTAAATTACATCTGTATCTAACAATATAAGTAGCTTGTTTTTTTTATAAGACTTTAGAATGGGGTTTGTTTAATGACTCTGTTTCTGGATCTATCGGATATACCTATCTATATAGTGATATATTAAAAGATACCTAATACAATGCAACATTTTAAACATCTACAAACTTTTATAAGTATCATGGATTATATTTTGAATCTAATAATGTTTCTGGCAAATCTTCATTAGAAGATTAAGAAGACTTTTAATATTCTAGATCTTTTAAATACTTTATTCTAGATCTTATGAGATTGAGTTGCAATTTGTCCAAACTTTTGGAGAAGGTTTTAGAAATAGGGTTTACGGGTAGTCTTAGTAGTTCGTTAATATTATCATATGGAGAAGATATCATTTCCCAGACCTATAGCGACTAATTTGTTGATACTTGGTTTTATTTCTGAGATCCCCAGAGTGGGCCCTCAAATGGTGTCCTTTTATTAACAATCTGTATGCTACATAGCCCACTCTTTCGTGCACTAGTAGGCCATCTTTCTTGCTCTTATCCGCGCTCCTCAAGTCTTACTTTCTATATCTCTTTCTGTCTCTGACGATATCTTCTATCTTTGCCAGGTACCAGTGGCGCACAAATGTTGCTTACACCCCTCCGCTTGTCCTTGATACCCCTCCCCCCACTCCCCGGCGGAAAACCCTTCCCCTCGCCCTCAGCATCGGGGGGTGTAGAACGTGTAATTTCCTTTCAAGTTTGGTGTCGGGCTGGCAATTTGGTTGATTGCTTAATCGCATCACGATGCCGGCGTTGCGAAATCAGCTCCATGCCACGCCCCACCGCCCTACCGCCCACTTCACACACACACACACACACTCACACATAAAGAGAGCAACACAACACAAACACTTGTATACAAAAGATGTCGCGTATAATTTAATGACTTTGTATGCCTTGAATTTTAATGACAACAACAGGAGAGCGTTGAGCAGAATAGGACCTCCCTCCACACCCGCACTGTCCTAGCCCTCTTAGTGTCCTGGCCGAAAGGATAATGGATCAAGTGGAGGCGGCAGGCAAACAACAAGCGACACCACAAATTGCAATACACTGAGCCGGCTAGAAGGATTTTCTTTAAATATTTTATTAATTTAATTTTTAATTCTTATTGAGTTTTTATAAATTAAGATATTAATTTTTAATTAAATAAATTATTTATTAGTCAAGTCCTTTAATTTATTTAATATTTTGGTTCATGCAAGTATAGCAGTTGAAGATGAAGACCAAGATGCAGGACTCAAGGAAGGTCGGCGAAAGGGTCCTTGGACTGGGGGGAGGTGGGGAGCTGGACTAGGGGGCGTGGCAGGTGGCAGTGGCTAAGCAGCAAACATTGCCATGCATGGCACTATGCAGCTCCCGTTGTGTAGACAACGGGATTTGTTTTGTTTGCAGCAGCGATCTGACCAAGTCCTTGCCTCCTGCCACCCTCCCCTCCCCCTGTGAGTCCCTATTTCGCGAATGGCAAAGATTTATGGCTTTATTTGTTCATTGTCCTGCCGTCGTCGTCGCCGTCGCAGTAGCCCCCTTGCACTGTCGTTCTCTGTTAGTGTTATTTTTTATGCGGACATTGCGATGCGACTCAAAATGCGCAATGGACAGGACTAGGGCCAGGACTACGACTAGCTGAGAGAAGGAGAAACAGTCGGGGAGTGGAGGAAAAAAGGGAAAAGATAAATCCCAGCTAGAAGGAGGGCAAGGATATCATACTTTCCCTCGAAAGCCAACACTATCCACAGCCACACTCGCCCACACGCAGCGGGGAATTGTCAGTTGATGAAACTGGCCAAGTTCGAAGGGAATTTCAAATGCAATAAACACTTAAAGAAAATGTTAATAAAATATTATTGTGCTTATTATATTATTCTTCGAGAAGTAAAAGAAAAAAAATCATATTTTTAATGGATACTTTATAAACTTTAAGGAGTAACCACTTTCCAAATATCCTTGCCAGCAACCCTTGCCGTGTCCTTGCCGGCTGGCTTGCTTTCTTTCCGCTTCTCTTTTTTTCTTTCATTTTTTTTTTTATTGCTGCTTTGACTTTTAGCCTGGCACTCGCTTCCTGTTTATTGACTTGTCTCTCAATTAAGTTAGAAACACCCAACACAACCGCACACTAACAAGGACACTAACACACCCAAGCACATATATAGATATGTAGTGGTGGCTTGGCAGGATGACATTGCGTAGTCGTGTCCTTTTCCTGCCCGTTGTCTTGATGTTTTTTCCTTTTTTTTTGTCCTTCTTGCGTTTCCAATCTCAATTAATTTGCTCATAAATTTGTTGCCAACTTGCTGGCCAACTCAGGCAGGCCCCGTGGAGTCACCCCATCGTCCGAGTCCTCCATTTCTGAACTGACTCCGAGAATTGTCGCTGTTCGGCGTTGTCCTTCTTGGGGTTTCCTTGATGTTCTCATGGTTATGCTTTTTATTTTTGTTCTACCCTGTATGGTTAGTTTATTAATTATGTTTATATAATTAATAAAATATAATTAAGCGGAATTGTAGGTTAATATTTGATTTTTAGGATGAGATATAGTCCATTTGAGAGTTCAATATATGATTTTAACTATATATTGTATAAGAACACCATTGGAATAATTACATTATTTTTTTTATAGGATATCCTTGAGTCCTTCCGGTTTATTTTATTTCTTTTTTGTTCTCAGCTTGACTCGAAGGAAAATTCCGCTTGATTTTTCCGGCTCTCGTGTTTTTTTCTTTCTTCTTTTTTTTATTGTAATGCCATCTTATCTTCTCCTTGGTTGATGTATTTGCCTTGGTTTTCTCTTTGGGCTCTTGCTCCTGACCCTGTCCACCGCCCCTCCTACTGCCACCACCCACCACCCCGTCGGGTGGCCTTGTTTTTTAGCCTTTCCTTTATGTATTTTAATTTATGCTCGGCTTCTGTCCTGAGTTTTTTATGCTGATTCCTATCTATTGAGATTGAGACAACATTCTACTTAAGAAGTGAAGCGGAGAGGGCCGGAGAGGAGCAAAAACAAGGACAAGA